TGATGGCGTTACAAAAATATATATTTTAAGAATTGTGCAAATGTGAAATAAATCTGTCGAGAAAAGTTTCATCGTGTTTTTGTTTTGTCATTATGTTGATTAAATCTCAAGTAATAGACTGAAAAAAATTATGTTGTTTCAGTCATGAAAACAACATCATAATATCCTATTAAGAATGTCATTGCTGCTTTTGATTCTCTGACTACATCTGCGCAGCCAACTCTTGCAGTTGAAATCTCGACTGCATGCAGTTGATTACGACTGCACATATTAACTGCAGTCATGCGGTCTAGCTTTTGTTAGCAGCCTTAACAATTTTCTGAATAATTGAAAATTTCTTTATATTATAACAATTTTTCTTGTCCTCTTTTCAGATTGCTTCGAACGCATTTTAATAGGAGAGCAAATTTCTCCTACCGCCATTTATCGCAACGTCTCAGAACTAACAACACGAGAATGCGAACAAATCTGCAAGCAGGACAAGCAATGCCAGACATACGACTACGGGTGAGTTGGCTCGCTTAAATACATAGTAGTTCGAACAGAGATGTTGCATTTTAAAGATGATTCATTTCAATTTCGTTTTTTTTTATATTTTATCATTATTAAACATGTCAGCCCTATTAGAAAAACAATACATCAAAAAGACTCCTAACAGGATCCAAACAGTTAAAAAATAATAACAAGGCAAAATGCTACGTGTATAAAATTTCGTTCGTACGTTCGGCATTGTATAGAATACCTAAACTAAATGTATAATAGAATTTATTTCATATATTATCCGACTGTTTTAGGTATTGTGTTGAATACCTAGGTATAGTATGGAATACCGGATTATACACCGTACAGTGGGGCCAACACCCGAAAATATGATCAATATTATTTTGCACTCACAAATTATAAGCACATAAATGTGAAAGTTACCCAATTCATTTCAAAATGAAGTATTACGTATACTAAATGCATGTAAAACTTACTAAGATATATAATCGGTTCTCCAAAAATGACTGATTAGTATTGCATTGTTGTATCAAAATAATATCTTGAATTATTTTAGTAAAAATACTCACAACTGAAAATAATTTATTTTTTTGTCAGGTTTCCCAACATTGCAAAATTTTGCGTCTCTTATTTTATAAACAAAATCGATAGTATTTATAGATGTGTAATAGCAATATATAGCAAAATTGATCGAGATTATGATTATGTAACGCTTGCCTTGAAATATCTTGTTTTCTCGACTTTTGATCTCGTTTTGCGGTTTTGGCCCCACTGTGCGAGCTGGAAATTTGAAATGTCCTAAGAGACATTTTGTCGTAAGGTCATTTTCCCTTACGACATTTCAAATTTCCACCATCAATACGTTGCCGAAAACATACACATATTGTGAAAAATAAAATAAAACCGCTGATTACGTCTTGTATGGGGAGTTGAAAAACCCATCTTTAAATAGAATGTTTTGTTTGTACAATATTTTAAGAACAACTAAAAATGGAAATAAAGGAGTAGGAGAGGAGAAGTAAATTTACAAATTAGAGAGCAAAACGGTATCAATAATCAGAACAGCAAACTTTTAATTAGTAGGACACTGTGAATAAGTGGTAAAAATTTCATTGATAAAGAAAAATTGGTTGCGAAATCACACTTTATTGCTGCTTTTGAGTGAGAGTCAGTAAATGTTTACAACAATTAAGTTTTCTTTCAAAGCAATTACATGCAAAGCAAACTGGTCTTTTTCAGTTATTTGTATCAATTATCACTTTCCTGTAATACAATACTTTAGGATCAATGGTCGGGGGGATATACGACATGAAATCAATATAAATAATCTTACAACTCAACCCACAATCAATTGTAGTGCATGAAAACAGGCGAGAATAGTACTTTCTGTGACATAATGAAAGGCATGAAAACACGAGCGTGGGTTTAT